GGATGCAAGAGTCATATTCAGCACATTGTCTTTTCCCTGGATCTGAGTTCTTCTGGTGTCACCACTGACATTAACAACCCAGAAATCTTCAGAATTACCTGGCGGACACTGGCTCTTGTCCAGTTGCTTCGTCACACTCATTCTGATTTTCTGGTAAGAAATTTGAGACAGCAGGTCACAATAAACAATTCACCCTCTCACAGGCCAACTCAGTGAGCACAGGTAACATAGAAATGTTAATATTCTCAGGGCAACAATAGAATATACTATGAAAGGTATTTGAGGAAGCTGAAGTCTTAGGAGAATTAGACAGGACTGCTTCCATATGCTTGGGGGAAATTCTCTGGCTAATCTGGTTCAGCTTTCTCCTAATATCCCATCTGCTGAATCTTTCGAGTTAATAGTATATTTTCCCAAAAGGTCCTAAAAATCAGCTGAGTTGCTTCTAGAATTCTTTCTACAATATTGGTTTGTCCCATCAGATAATGTGGTTGCTGATGCTATGGAGGAATTTCTGCTTGAGACTAGATGAACGCTACCAACGTTCATATCAAGGAGACAATTTGGGACTACACAGAAACAATGGGCATTCAAGGCTGGAGGGACTACCAGAGCTCACCCTTACTTCATGGGAACATGCAAGCAAGGTAAAGGGACACTTGGTACTTTCCTGGTTTTCAGACGGCTACTTAGCTAAGATAAGCCAACATCACAAAGATGAAGACTCGGGCTGAGATCAGTGAAACCAGAGACACCACCTCACCTAACACAGAGGCAAGGCTACCAGTCTCTTTGGACAAACAAAGAAAGGCCAGGGACATTGTTCAAAAAGAAGAATCAGACCACTGTAGCGTGGAAGACAAATTTGACCCAAACTATCTCTGACAGGCTCTTCCTGTGCATGTCTACCCAAGGCGGGTGACAGGTTCTCACCCCTGATTTCGGTCCCATGGCCTGATTTTGCGTCCAGGGTGACAGATACATGAAGAGGGCCTAGAAAGGGATCAAGGCTCCCTGGTACATATGATATCCGTGTTTCACAGTCCATCCTTTTCTCTGGGGTAAACCAATATGTGTCACTAAGGTCGACCTTCGGTGAAGACCTTCTTCAGTCTAGACAGTGTGTGGGGAACAAAACTAGAAAGGATACCTGGGAGGTCAGCTGGAATTTGATCTTCTGTAACATGGGAGCAAGCACCAGCTACATGCAGAGCACGGCCGACTTTCTCTTCATCAATTGGCAAGTTGCCTTCACCGTCTAGCCGGTTGCAGTCAGATCCTTCTTGGAGAACTGAGGGATTCAAAACACATTCATCCTGGCACTCTTGGAGCAACTCCTCCTCCAACTCCTCTTGCTCAGTGCTGTTCCAGGTGGGAAAGGAATGACAGAAAATTCAACTATCAGCATCTGTCACCATGTAGTCGGTACTGATTTTGCTGCAGGGCATAGGAACTATTCATGAAATGCAAACTTATCAGTCCTCATAAAGAGGGAAGTAAGTATCCTTCTGTATGTGAAGCAGAGTGAGGCTGTCAGGGAGAGGGGGAGGGAGAGAGCCGTAGTTGTTCGGTGCACTGGCCACTTGACATGGGATGAGAAATGAGACCCAAACATCCCAGTGTGGTCCTTTCATGATCATGAAGCACCAGTGAACTACCACAGCACGTGCTACTGCCATGTGCCTCTATCATACGCAGTTTAAGTTAATGTAGCCAAGTGAGTATAAGCGTTAAGGTACTGTAGAGCCTCAGAGACATTATGTCTTCTATTTATGAACAGAATTCCTCTAAAGCCTTTCTCATAGTCGTGTCATGTGGCAACTAAAATTTTTCCTAGACACTTCTATTGGTGTTTAATTCTTTGAGTTACTTCTTTACTGATTCCATTGCTATCCTCCTTCCTAACAAGCACCTAAGAACTGTGTACAAACAGTTCTTTATCTCATCTTGGTGTTCATTTAGGACAGTATGCATATCCTCTCTGTGTGTGCAGGGAACCCTAAAGGTGGTACATTACCTTGGGCCATACCTACAAGTGCCACAGAGACAACAGACAGCCAAGTTAAAGGGCCCCTTCCCTGTTGCTTGGATTGAAGTCAATCAATGCACTCTGCAGGTTTTCTTTTCTCACATCTGGTACATGAGACTCTCTCGCCCTCATGTGTTCATCTTTCTTCTACCCTCTCCATACTTTACCTACCCTTTACCGGCTCCTAAGACTTCATGATTACCTGGGGGTGAGTGTTTCTTCTTCTAGTTCATCTTCCTCATCTTCATGAATTTCTGCAAACAAATTCAGAAATATCCAGTCAGCTTTTCCCCACTTCACCAACTACAATCCTAATGGTTATATGGCCACAGGGACATAAATATCTATGTATGTGTCAGTGCGGTGCTGAAGTTCTAGCGCACTGTCTTTAAGTGATTGGCCTGGTCCAGATGTCTGATCCATCATTCAGCGTGACCCCAAACTGCTGGATGGCCATCATGACACCTCTGCCTGACAAGGGGCAAACATTCAAATGGTCTTCTGTTCCCTATATCACTGTACAAGTGTCCACCTGCCATCTCAACCTATACAACCCTTTCATCCATCCGGCCACTAATTTCTCCCTAGACACATGCTCTGCACCCCTTACCGCTCTCCCATATGTCCCCTGCTTTGTCTAAAAGAGGGAAACAACCCTGTCCCACATGCCTCCATCTGCCCACATCATGGGACCTTCCTATGGCTCCTGAGCGTTACCAAGGGAAATTCTCCCCATGGGAAGGGTCCAGTAAAACAAATTTCCCAACACAAGTTCGACAACATTAAGTGCCCAATCCAACCCTACAAAGTGCAGGGCTTCCCTTTTTCTGAGCTGTTTCATTGACATTCCCAGATTAATCACTGCAGCACCATCAACAGATTATTTGACCCATTTTACACAAGAGGAAACAGACACTGAAATAGGAAAATCCAATCACTCGCTCACAGTCAGGAAAGACAGCACTCAGGCTGGAGTCTGGCCACTTTGATGCAAAGCCCAGGGCTCTTTCTGCTCCCACAAGCTATGCCCAGTCACAGCTTCCTTTCTGTGCTTTAACCCTGGGGGATGCTGTCTCGCCCCGATGGCTACCATCCATCAGGGGGGAAGCAGACAGTTGAAACACTGTGACCTCCAGCCTGTGCATTTCCCCTCGGTCCTCCCACTCAGCCAGTCCTGGTCCTGTCAGAGTCCCCAAAATGAAACATGGACACAAGACACTTGTTCAAATCATTCCTAGTGGAGGTGAGGAGTCTCTTATGAGCCAGGAAACTTTGCATGAGAGGCTCAGTGCTATCAGAGCCTGGGGCCACTGTACCTGGGCTGAGCTTGCGGGCAAGGCGCTCTGCCAGCCTGCGTCCCTTGGTCAGCTGCTCTCGGAAGCCCTGGCCCGGGTTGTTGTCAAGGTCATTGTGGGTGAGGACGTCCCTGAGTTGTTGAATGAGCAGGACAGAGTCTTCTCTCCCGTCCCGTAATTTCTGCCGTAACTGGGTCAGCTCTCGTGCCTGAGAGCGAATTAGGGTATCGTATTCCCTAACATGAGAGAGAAGAAATGATGTGAAAATGCATAGTTGGATGATAGATGATTAGAGGTTTCGAAGGCAGTTCTGTGAGAACATCCCCGAGGAGGCCTCAGAGCAGAATTCTGGCACATATGGGGGACCTTCCTGTGGCAAAGAGGAGAAAAATGGTATAATAAAGGCATCCTCCGTATCAGAGATGCTCCTCTAGGATTCCGTCACATCCCATTCATCTTCTTCTGGAAACTAAATCTAATGCCTTCCTAAGCCTGCTTCATGAAGATGTCCGTTCAGTGTCTCACTGAGCCATGCCCATTTCCATATAAAGATCCACATGGGGCGTACTGGGCAGTGAATGTCACAAAGTCACACATGGGGTGGACAGGCCCAGCTGGTGAGAAGTGGAAAGAACAGGAGAATGAGAGAGTCAAGGGAGGATGACAAGGTGTAGTCATCCAGGAGGGGACTGTGATTCAGAGGTAAATGAGGTACTGGTTGCACAACATGGTGAAGGTTCCAAAGGCCACTGAGTTGTTCACTGGATTTGAATCTGCTGACTTTCATGTAATGTGATGAACATTTCTGCACTCTTCTGGCCCAAAGTTGCTCGTGGCCAAACTTCACAGAGGCCTACACCTCCCTGCACAGAGCCCTCCTTACCTGAACCTCTCATCAGCTAGCGCTGGCTTCTCTGCCAGCTTCTCTGCCAGCTGCTCAGCCAACTTCACCACCCGGAACTGCAGCTTCTCCCCCAGCACGGATTCAATGATGTCCTTGTACTCTTCACACTCTGAGGAAACAGAGACGCTGCCTCAGGGGAAAGCTGCACCCCCTGCTGTGCTCACTGCCTTCAAGGGAGGAGGTAGGATCCATCCCAAGGGCAGAGGGAACTGCGATAGCAGGCTGTTGGCAGGGACTTCCACATCTGATTCCTCAGCCTCCCAACTGCGTGGCATTCAGTTACTCCCCATTTTAGAGCTGGGGAAAGAGAAGCTGCAAGGCACAGAAGGGAACTAGACAGACTAACTGGCATTAGGAAAGGTCACAATTCACATTCCCGGAGACTGACCCTGAATCATGGGCCACTTGAAGAAGACTTGCAACCTCGGAGGTCAAATACTGAGCAGGGGCATGAGGTGGTGGTTTCTTTTGTGGTTGGGGTGGACTCTAGGATTAAGGGACTGATGGTTCCCTTGTGCAGGGATTACAATACTGAAGAAGCTACTCAGAGGTTTAAAAACAATTCACCTGGATACACTTCTGTGAAATATGTTGCGTTAAACTATAAGGACCTGAAAGACATGTGCCAAAATACTAGGATGATTTGTGTTAGTAGAAGCAGTAGTGCTAAGACCTGTGTTTACAATGTACCAGGCAGTGTTGTAAGAGTTTTAGAAGAATTTCCTAATTATTCCCTCTCAAACATGCAGCAGCACTGGATGGACAGAGAGGAAAACCGAGGCACAGAAAGACATGCAGCGTGGATGTGAGCCGAGGAAGCCTGGCCCAGAGTCTGGGTTCTTCATCTCTGCACTGTGTGACCTTGACACCAAGGTCCTGGGGGATATCCTTTTCCTCCTTCACCTTCACAATATGGTTCTTAAATTATGTTAGGATGATAAGGAAAGACGTAAATAAAACATAGTTTATCCTTTTCCTAAAGTGCACCTCTTCACTTTCTCAAATAGCAGGCTTCACATTTAGTTTCTCTGTTTCAGTCATGTTTCATTAACTACACCCTAACCTTTGGTTTACTGAAACCCAATTGTTAAGCAAATGACACAAACCCAGAGTTGTCCAGATTCCTCCAATCATCTTGTTGTGTATTTCCCCCGAGTCCTCAGGATTCCTTTTGTCACTACACACCCCTCTTACTGAACAGGCAACTGTGCTTCCAAATACCAGGATGACTGTGGGAGCCAAGGGCCTGCCCCACATACTGGCGTGGGTTTTCCTAGCAATGGTGTTCTCTCCCACTTACCCTCATTCTC